CTAGTGGGGAATCTGGGCATTCCGTTGAGGAGACTGGAACAACCAATCTCATTTGGCCAGTTAGATGGGTCCATAGCAGGGTGGGGTGCCAGTTACCCTAGCCACTTTACCAATACACCTCTCCCTGGGCAAATATGAGGAAGACATAATGTTTGTAGTGACCCCAGGCATGGAATGCCCGATGATCCTAGGGCTGGAATGGTTAAAGAAATGGAACTCCTGAGTGAATTGGAGGACGGCAGAAATCAATTTCCTGAAAGGGGACCCTATGGACTTAAAATCCCAAGGGGAGCTACCAAATTTAAGAACGGAAAAAGCTTCCATGGGAGAGGAAAAGGGACTACCAGAAATAGCAGAGCAGTGGTTCTCAACCTTTTTAATGCTGCGACCTCCAACCGGTCGTAAGTCGAGGACTACTCAACTGGTGCAGCACCGTTTGCAGAATGGGACTTTTGGCAGGCTCAGCAGGGCAGAGACAGCCTGGACAATTCCTATTGGCTTTTGAAAGCCAATAGAATTAGACGCTATTCAAGAGAGTCTATTCTATTGGCTTTCAAAAGCCAATAGAATAAAAGGGAGTAGCACAGCTAAGGAAAAGGGGGGAAAATGGCGGACTGTGTTGTTTGGCGACCCCCGTGAAATGGTTGTTCAACCCCAAATGGGGTCCCGACCCACAGGTTGAGAACCACTGTACGAGAGGAATACAGATCTGGCTGAAGTTTTCAGTGAGGAGAGGGCGGATGAGCTCCCCTCCCCCACCGACCCATGGGCTGTGCTATTGAATTCAAGCCTGGGGCAAAGCTCCTGAAGCCCAGATTATACTCCATGAGCCCAAAGGAGAAGGAGGAAGTGGAAAGATTCATAAAGAAAAACCTAGAAAGGGGGGTCATTGAGCCAGCCAAGCCTAAAGTGGCCGCCCCGATCCCCTTTAGAGAGAAGAAGGATGGCTCTTTACGCTTATGCATGGATTATAGGCTCCTGAATACAATCAGTGAAAGCAACCTATGCCCCCTGCCCCTTATGAAGGACATGTTGTCACACCTCTCGAAAGGGATTTTTTTTTATTAAACTAGACCTAAGAGAAGCTTACTATCATGTGAGAATTAAGGAAGGAGATGAATGGAAGACCGCATTTAACTGCCCAATGGGGTGCTACGAATTCAAAGTCTTGCCATTTGGATTACAAGGGGGGCCTGCAGTATTTATGCAATTAATCAATGACATTCTAAGGGAGCACCTATTTAAGGAGGTCCTAGTTTACTTAGATGACATTCTTATCTTTCACCGAATCAAAAGAGGAACATGTCAACCTAGTCAGAGCGGTCTTAAAGAAACTGCAAGCCGCCCACCTATATGCCAAACTCTCGAAATGCAAATTCCACCAGGAAAGGATAGACTATCTAGGTTATTGCATATCCCCACAGGGCATTGAAATAGACCCAGAGAAGATCAGAGCAGTATTAGAATAGGAACCACCCTGCACAAGAAAGCAACTGCAAAGTTTCCTGGGCTTTGCAAACTTTTACTGCCAATTCATCCCCTCATTTGCCCAGATAGCCCTGCCCCTTATAAACTTACTAAAAATGAAGGGAGCATCCTCAGTAAAACCTAGCCAGCCACTAACATGGACAATGGAGTGCCAAGCGGCGTTTGAGAGATTAAAAAGACTTTTTTCTGCCGAACCAGTACTGAGGCACCCAGACATGGATAAGCCCTTTGTAATACAGGCGAATGCAAGTGATGTGGCAGTGAGGACTGTACTATTACAAGAAAACAATGAAGGGGTATTGCAACCCTGTGTGTATACATCCAAGAAACTCACCAAAATAGAACAGTGCTGGCCCATGTGGGAGAAAGAGGCATATGGGATACATTGGTCATTATTCACGTGGCGCCAGTTCCTTGAAGGCAACAAAATCCCTTTCCAGGTGTGGACAGACCACATAAATTTGGAAGCATTGAAAATACCCAGGAAGCTCAACCCCAAACAAGCCTGCTGGTCCCAGCATTTTCACCAATTCCACTTTATGCTCAAGCATTTGCCAGGGGAAAAGAACTTCCTGGCAGATGCATATAACAGCACGTGAGCCACTGACTCTAAACCATGATGGTAAAATCACAATTGGCAGTGCCAGTAACCAGCAGAGCCCAAGCTAAATTAAAACCACAGCTGGGCAGCCAAACCAGAATTCTGGGAAAGTTTGGAAACAGATGAATGGTTCCAGAAAAATAAACATGTGTGCACAATGAAAGACGGGCTGCCTTAGGTGGGGGAAAAGTTATAAATACCAACAACCCAAAGAGTCACATTCATGCAGCATTGCCATAACACAAAATCAGCAGGGCATTTTGGATTTGTAAAAATATTGCACTTAATTAAACGGCAATTTTGGTGGCCATCCATGAAAAAGGACATAGAAAGTTACGTGGCCAGCTGCCCAAAGTGTGCAACTGCAAAGAGGCTGCAAGGGAAATCGCCAGGACTGTTACAAACAGTGGCAAATCCCTCAGCCCCCTGGAGAGACATAGCCATGGATTTTATAGTGGAATTACCAAAAAGCAATGGGAATACTGTTGTCTGGACGGTTACGGACTTGTTTTCCAAACAGGTGCACTTTATCCCTTGCCTAAAGATTCCCACTGCAAAAACCTTAGCGAAAATTTTCATCCAGCATATTTACAGATTGCATGGGGCACCCCAACACATCATATCTGATAGAAGAGTGCAATTTATGTCTGCATTTTGGAAGGAATTTTTATCCCTCTTAGGGACCACTCAGGGACTGACATCTAGCCATCATCCACAAGGGGATGGACAAGCAGAATGTTGTAACTCAGTACTTGAGCAATACTTAAGATGCTTTATTAATTTCCAGCAGTCCAATTGGATGGACCTACTCCCTTTTGCAGAAGTTGCCTACAATAATGCAGTCCACTCCAGCACAGGTTACACTCCTTTTCAAATAGTACCAGTCAAAGTTTCAATCCCATGCCAGAACTAACCCCAAATGAACCGGCAATCCCATCACTGAAAGAATGGAAGGAACAATTACAAAACATCTGGCCAATAGTTAGAAAAGCACTAGATGAAAGCACAAGCCGATAAAAAAAGGCTTGAGCCTACACCATTCATTATAGGAGAGATGGTGTACTTATCTACAAAATCCCTAAAATCCCTACACCCTGTAAAAAACTTGGACCAAAATATATAGGGCCTTTTCCAATTAAAAGAGTCATAAACCCAGTAACAGTAGAATTAGAATTACCGAAAAATCTCAGGCAAATGCACCCAATTTTTCATTGCAGTTTGCTGAAAAGAGAGCATCAGTCACCTTTACAGCCAAAAATCCCCCCACCCCCACCTCCAATCATGGTGGAGGGCGAACAACACTTTGAGATAAAGGAAATCCTAGATTCTAGGAGATATCATGGAGCAACTCAGTACCTAGTAGCATAGAAACACCTCCTGCCTCACAAAACAAGTGGGTCAATAAACGTCATGTCAGAGCCTCGAAGCTATTAAAGAAGTTTTATACAGAGTATCCTATCAAGCCAGACTAACTTTTATACCTGTTTTGTTTTCTTTTCAGGTGGATCTCTCTTATTTTTAAGTGGGCAGGATGTCAGAATCCAATTATATTTCATTTCTAGTTATCGACTATGGAAAACCCCATTTCTGCCCTCTCTGGATTCTGTCATACTATGAAGGGGAAGGGGAATGAGCAAAGGGGTTTTATGGCTCTCAGTTCCTTCATTAAAACTTCAAAGGGACTGAATGTGGATCTCACCAAGAGGACTGACCATAACAATATGGCCATCACCTTTCATCTACTACTCTTTGAAGTCTCCATTCCGCCGGCCGTGAAGAAAAGGGGGTGAAAATGTAACACCTGGGATTGTTGTTAGAAGGATGGTGGGGTGGGGGGCTGCTTGGGAACACTTACAACCTCGAATGGTAGGGGTTGGCCCCTTAGATCCTGTCTAGAATACTTGCAACCATCTTTTCTTAATAAAGATGCCTGTTGGAAGAGATATTCCAAGAGTTCTGTCTTCTTAAGATGTAAAGTGGGGTGGGTCCTTACAGTTAGTGACTGGATGATTCCAGACTAATTTTGGGAGCTTCTCTAAATAGAAGAGCTGGGACGTAGGAAATAAAACTGATCATCTTAAACTTTCTCTTTTGAGAAAGCAGTACTACAAGAGGCTTGAGATATGGCTTGAAATATGGCATCGCATGTATTCTGAGCCAATGTTCCCATTCACTCAGAAACTGTCAACCCTTTTATATGATTGCCATTTCCTTTAATACAATAAAGATATATGAACTTGGCTGAAAGTTAGTTCTAAGAACAGACCGTTTTGTCTAAAATCATTTCTGTGTGTGTGTATGTGTGTGTGTGCACGTGCATGCACATATGCATGGAAAGTTGATTTGAATTAAGCTCATGATAGTAGAGTGATTAATAGCTGATTGGGGAGAAGAATTTATATAGAATATAAAACCTCAATTGTTTGGATTCAGTGGACGTTGGATATAACAGAAACATTTTCTTTTGGATTTCATCCTTATACAACTTAAGTCCATTATTTCTGAAGTACTCCAGACTTAATTTTCTAATTTATATTTATGTTATTTGCATCAATTTATATCATTTGCATAAATTGCTATAGATAACTTACAATCATAGTTACCCAAATAACAAAAATGGCATGAACAATAATAAACACTCCAATTTAATGGAACCCTTTTAGCAATTGGGCTGAAGGCATTTTCATGGGTATAAAGCAGATGGTTGGGTTGGATGGTTGCAGCAAGGTAAAGGCTGTGTCAGTGAAATTGTCAAGCAGAGGATCAAGGCAAAGTATGGGCATCTATTTCTACAAAGACAGAAAGCTAATATTTATGCCGTTTACAGAAAGCATACGCAATAGGGCAAAATAAGTACAATTCTAAGTTAAAAAGATCTTTTTTGTTGTCAGGAAAATTACATAGACATATCCATAAAATAAACAGAAATTTTATTCATTTGGAGGAGACATAACCTTCCTACTACCTCTATTACAATTGGCTCTGGGATTAGCTGGTTAGAGTATTCTGATGCTGTACTGTACATATAAGTCATTTTGTTGACCAATCTGAATCAGAACTGTGACCAGCAGGCAGGGCAGAGCTGAGGGTTGGGGGTTAGGGGTTAGCTAGGAGAGGTCCTGAAAGGCAGTTGGTTTCTACCTCCCTCTCCTTTCCACCCTTCATTCAATTAATTGTTATATATTAACCCTGCTGTTTTTACTTGGCAATGTTTTTTCTTTGACCTCCCAGGGTATCACTGTGCCCTTGACATTTTTCATTCTCAATCGATTATTATTTCCGAAGAAATATGTTACATGCTACATGGGGATGCTGGCCAGATACCTTATTGATCTAACCTTCATGACTCTGTCATCCTCATTTAGTCAGTTCAATGTTTGTAGCTCTTCTCCTACAATTTTCCATATTGTAGAAAGATAAAGTTTTAGAAGAGGAATATGTATTGTTATTACCATATATACTGGGTATATTTCCTAAAGATTAGTCAACCATAAATCCTCAGATTTTGTTGCAAGTAAATCTCATACATTCTCTAGCTATGCTCTTCAACATCTTCATCAATGATTTGGATGAGGGGATAGATGGGGAACTCATCAAATTTGCAGACGACACCAAGCTGGCAGGAATAACCAACACTCCAGTAGAAGGATCTGGACAGACTTGAACATTGGGTGCTATCTAACAAAATGAAATTCAATGGTGAAAGATTTTAGCCTGGAATTATAGTATAATAAACTAATCACTTTTGTGCATCTTAATGGAGATTTCAAAAATCAGTATATTTCTATGACCAGGGCTTTTTTTCTCATAGAACGCTCAGAACGGAGTTCCAGCACCTTTTTTGGATGGAACCTTATACAGTAGGCAAGGCAGGTTGTACAACGTGTGTGAGTTCCGGCACCTTTTTTTTTTTTTTTTTTTAAGAAAAAAAGCACTGTCTATGACCATTTGAAAGCATTTAGTGCATTCTAATTATCATTTAACTGAGCAAGTCCTTGCTGGATTCTGTCTTTGATATGCAAGACAAATGATATCCTGGCTCAATTTAGATCCCGACTAATTTTCCATAAGATGAAAACTTATACATGCTGGAATATTTAGAACATCAGGTAATGACAACCATAGAGAAGGAACACATAGTTGCCTAATATAATATAGACATAATGTATAAAAAGAGTGAAGCATCTGTCAGCTGAAAGCAGAAATTCTCCATTGAGTTAGTGTAAAAAAATCCCAGCCTCAAAGTGAAAACACTGAGAGGTGATCAAAAGTAAGGGACAGAATAGACAGAATAAAAATTTGGAACAAGGAGTGCTCAAGCCAGCCATCCTTTAGCTTTTACATTAAAAAAAAGTTAAACCATAATATAAATGTAGATTCTTCTTGTCATGGACTTGTTAAGTTCTCAAAGCCATTGTAAGTGAAAGGAGGTAGACTGGGAAAGCATGTGACTTTTTGTTGCAAGCAGGCAATTTGGTTGATCTCACATTTCTCTGCATCTTCATCATCTCTGAAGTAGATGCTGTCAAGGGAGCTGCTAGAAGGATCAACATCGAAATAGTTATAGGGCCGAAGTAAAAAGCCCACTCCATTGCCAACTGTCACTGTAGTGGGAATGTCCTCAGCATGTGGCACATGTAAAAATCCAACTGAGATCCAGGCCACAAGATCCTGGGAAAAGAAAAATTAGCAAGATTAATGATTAGCAAACCCCCCATTTGGTCATGATACTTTTCTGATAATATAGAATGCAGTTATATTTCATGGAGCAACATCCTTTGTAAATGATGCTCTTCTTGAAAACTGGCTGCATGTAAATGAAGCTCAATTCATATTGTTTGTTGAGATGGTCTGCAACCACATTGTAATTCATTCATGCATCAGACATGCAAATACACTGTCAACAGAACAATATTGTAAGATTTTGTGTTATTTTTCTTCATTTCCTCTACTGTATACATCTTAAAATTATTTGATTCCTTTCTTGATTACTTGCATTACTTTTCCATCTATTTAGCTCAACTTTTTGGTTTTCATTTGCAAATTGTGCAAATTTCAATTTTTTTAAAAGAAGTCTTTTTGTCTTGAGGGAAGTTAGCCCCCCCAGAAGGAAATATTAAAAAGGAAAATATATTTTTCACCAAAAGTATTTTTTGAAAAGCAGAAACCAAACCTGCCCCCAAATTTCTTTGCCCCAAGCAAGAGCTAACCTCATAGAAATGCAGATATAAGACCATTAGGAAGGTTGGAGCCAGGGAACTCAAGACAAAGAAACTCTTAAGAGTCATTAGCCCAGCCCCAGGGAAGCAGGAGATGACTTTTGGAATATAACCCATTACCATCAAGTATACCATAGAGGCACACCTAAAACAGGTCAAAATACGTGACACAGGAAATAGCCTCAAAGTTCATGCCACAGGAACAGGAAACTATTCCAAACAAAAGGCTAGAGGGGATATAAAAACCTACAACACCATGTGCTCAACCTTTCTCTCTTCTGCTCTTTCCTGAAGAACCATCTTTCTGCAATAAACTGTAACCTTCTTCCCAAAGCAGTCGCCATGTTTGCTTATTTGTTCCCGGCTTGGATGAGCCAGGATGAAGACTTTACTTCTAACAGTCTTGAATGGCTTTTCTGATCACATAGAACTCTCTCTCTCTCTCTCTCTCTCTCTCTCTCTCTCTCTCTCTCTCTCTCTCTCTCTCTCTCTCTCTCTCTCTCTCTCTCTCTCTCTCTCTCTCTGAAAAGCTGCAAGATGGTCAGTGTACAATCACCCCTTTGCCTACAGAGGGGACAAGGCTTAGCCTTAGATTGTGACGTTGTGCCTTCCATCTTCCAAATTTGGCTGAGCTTTGAAGATGTTCCTAGGTCTCACATTAAGCAAATTCTTCAGTGGAGTACCACCTTTCCTAGTCTGGGATATATTTACTAGCTGGACAACTGTTATCACAGTTTTGAATAACCTCAAAGCATTCTGAAGGAATGTAACCAATTTTCCCTTTGAATTTATTCTTTAATTTTCCTTTTCTAGTCAAATGAGCTTTTCTTCATACATCAATACCTCTCCCCCCTCTCCCCCTCCCTCCCTCCCTCCCCCCTCCATATCTTCATAATGTTGCTTTCATCTGAATCCTGATCCATATTTGTGGCAGCTTTAGGATAACCCTGGCTTTTCCAAGGCTAAAATAGGGGCTGTTTCTTAGTCTGACCCATTTGGTTTGACCATCTTTCAACTACCTCTCAAGACTCTCTTCTCTTGAAAATTTGGTAGTGCTGATGCATAGCAGACTTCTTCTTGTTCATGTTTCAGCTCCTCCTCCATGTAAAGCAAGGCTGGGTCATCTCAGTACTTACCTCATTGACTATGGTCTCATTATCTATGAAGTTTGAAAAGGTCACCAGAGGTTCCCATGGATCATTCTGGTTATAAATGCAGGTGCTTGTCAATTCTTCCTCTTTTTGCTTAGTGACAGACAACTTGTACCTAAAGTGGACAGAAAATAGGGAAAATAAGAAAGAAAATGGGAGGAGAAAAAAACAAGGTTTTATTGTGTTCCTGTGAGGGAAGTTAGCCCCCCCCCCAGAAGGAAATATTAAAAAGGAAAATATATTTTTCACCAAAAGTATTTTTTGAAAAGCAGAAACCAAACCTGCCCCCAAATTTCTTTGCCCCAAGCAAGAGCTAACCTCATAGAAATGCAGATATAAGACCATTAGGAAGGTTGGAGCCAGGGAACTCAAGACAAAGAAACTCTTAAGAGTCATTAGCCCAGGCCCAGGAAAGCAGGAGATGACTTTTGGGATATAACCCATTACCATCAAGTATACCATAGAGGCACACCTAAAACAGGTCAAAATACGTGACACAGGAAATAGCCTCAAAGTTCATGCCACAGGAACAGGAAACTATTCCAAACAAAAGGCTAGAGGGGATATAAAAACCTACAACACCATGTGCTCAACCTTTCTCTCTTCTGCTCTTTCCTGAAGAACCATCTTTCTGCAATAAACGGTAACCTTCTTCCCAAAGCAGTCGCCATGTTTGCTTATTTGTTCCCAGCTTGGATGAACCAGGATGAAGACTTTACTTCTAACAATTTGGCACCCCAGATGGGACTCCAAGCTAACCTCTCCAATAGACTGAGACTGGTAAGCCCCATCTTGCCGGCAGCAGACCCCCTTGTATCTGGGTTTCCCAGGCCTTGCCCATATGGAACTAGGGTAGTAAAGGGAGTTTTGAGAGTTTGAGCTCAAGGGCTGCTTTGGAAAGAAGGTGAAGGTGAGTACCTCTAAATTTTAAGTTTAAAGCCCAGGGGAACAAAGAAAATGTGTGTATGTCTGTGTGTGTGAGTGAGAACACCCTTTTTCCCCAATCACAGTTGGATTTTGCTCCTTCTGGTCTTTCCTAGCAACAGAAAGGATCTGTTTAATTGGCAGAACCTGGAAAGCATGGGGGTAGGTCAGAGTGTAGGACCTTTTGTTAAGGAAAAGGGAGAGGCTGTGTGAAAATGGAATGGAATGAGTGAATGAAAGAATTGGATTTGGGCAACCAGCTGGTAAGGCCTTGTAAGCAAAGCCCACCTATATGAGGGGCCCATACTCAAGTGCACAAAGCACAGGTCCTCAGCAGACTTCTAAGTCTGTAAAACTGATAGGCGGTGTGGAAACAGAGGTCGGGTACCTGTGCGCAGGTCCTCCTCAGACAACATATTTTTGAGGCCCGCAAAACCACGAGAGTCCCTAAATTGGAAGGGCCACTTACTCTGTGTGTAGGGACCGGAGTCCTTCCTGGGCAATTTTTTTAGTGCCCAGAAACTGAGGCGGGGCGGCAGGGTTGTTGTCACTGAGAGCGGATAAGAAGTGCTGCTAAGGAGAAAAACCCAACTGAGCCAATTTGAACCCCACATCGGAAGGGGAACATGGGTAGCTGCAGTTTGAGGGTTGGAATTAGGACACTTATTGGAGATGTGCTTGAGGTGTGGGACGAGAGGCTGAGTGCCTGTCCTGGATGGTAAGAAAAAGAAAAAGGGAGCAAGACAAATTTGTGAGGATGAGCTTTGCTTAGGGCTTTGCTGAAGGATGAAATTGGGAAACCAATTTGGCTAAATAAAGATACTTAAAAGGGAAAATAAGATAGTGATTCTCTCTATCTATCTCTCTCTTCTCTATGCAACCACGTGGTATGTTTAAAATGTGTGCCTTTCCTTGAGTTATCTGAAATCTATGGTGGGAATGACTAAAATGTGTAAAACTAAACTTCTGTTTCTTTCTCTGTTTTCCTTGTCTTTGTGTATATGTTTGTCAAAGTCTTTGTGTGTGAGGTAAATGTGACTGCTAATTGTTTCAGATCCAAAGAGAAAAGAATTTTAAAATTCTGCTAGAAAATTTGCTTAAAATAAGCCACAAAAAAGGAAACACCTCATTCTGTTTGTCTGGCCAACAAACAGAGTGGAGAAAAATGTGTTTGTTTGTCTTCCTCTTTCTCTCTGTGTACTCTTAAGAATAGCCTTAAGTTAGCAGGAGGGAATGTTTTAAGTTCATCTGCTAGAGGGACCCTGGAGGTAATCTAGTCCAACCCCCTGCTCAGGCAGGAAACCCTATACAAACTTTATCAAATGCCTTACTGAAGTTCAAGAAAATTATATCCACAGCATTCCTCTAGTCCACTAATTTTGTAACTGGGCCAAAGAATGCAATAAGATTTGTCTAGCATGATCTGTTTAACAAACCCATGTTGGCTTTTAGTAATGACTTTGTTTGCCTCTAGGTGCTCACTGATTATCTTTTCCAGGATCTTCCCAGGTATTGAGGTCAGGCTGATAGGTCTATTGTTTCCTAGATCTATTCTTTCTTTCTTTTTTTTTTTGAAGAGGGAAACTACATCAGCTCTTTTCCAGTCCTCTGGTAATTCCCCAGTGCTCCAGGATCTTTGAAAAATATAGTTCAGTGGTTCTGAGATCACATCTGCCAGTTCCCTGAGAACCTTGGGTTGTAATCCATCTGATCCTGGTGATTTCAACTCTGCTAGGCTGGATAAGTGCTCACTTACCATTTTTTCTTGCCTATCTTAACTTGTGTTTCTAATCTATTTTTCTTATATAGTACTGTTTTTGATAAGTTGGACTGTTTGCTTTTTTAAATTCTTTTTGACTGTGGTCACAAGCCTTAGTTCATTTTGAGCCTTAGCTTTCTTCACAGGCTAATCTTTGCAGGCTCAGACTATTTGCTAATATTCTGCTTTAGTTACGTGTTCCTCTTTCCACTTTTTAAGTTTATTGAAATTAGCTCTCTTAAAGTCCAAGACTCTAGTTTGACTGTGTTCTATTTTCATGTGCTTCCTATGCACCTTAGTTAGCTGACTAGCAAAAAGTTCATCTATTTCTCCTTTTTATAGTGATCCAAATGCATTCAAGACAGTTTCCACACTGTTGTGCCCTAATTCTGTAGATATGTAGTTATTTCTTATATATAGAAAAACTCTGCCTCCTCTTTTATTTGGTCTGTTCCTTTTAAACAATTGAAATCCCTCTAGTTGAGTTTTCATTTGTGGGTTTTATCCCACCATGTTTCTATAATGACAACTATATTATATTTGCCCTCATTCTTTATGACTGACACTTATGTGTTAATCCACTTTGTGTGACACTCGCTATTAAAAGCTTGATTTTGCTTGATAGCAAGGTTGATATTCTTGTCCACACACATCTATGTTACTTGCACTGCTAACCCTGTAATTTTTTGATCTCAATTAACTCACTGTCCCTTGTTTAAATATTCCTCCAGAAAATTTGTGAGTTTATTGCCAAGTAACTCAGTCCCTTTCTTTGATGAATGCAAACCATTTTTTGTACATTTGTTTCATTGGAATGCCTTTCATGGTTTCCAAAATTGTCATTTCTGATTTTTTGGTCAGTGTCTGTTGTTGGGTTAATTTCCTTCTCAATTCTGTCTAAAAGGTGTTAATTTTGTTCCAGGGAGAATCCAGTGTTTTATTTCATTGTTGTGTACCTTTTGGTGTTTTATTCTAATCCTGTCAATCTTAATTGCTGTTACCCAGTGTGTGCATTCCTTATAGCCAGTGTGTGTTAAGTGTTTGTGAGTCAGACTAGTTTGTATTGGGTCCTCCTTATATTTGCCAAGATATATTCTCTTTGGAGTGAGGAGGGAGTGTCCTGCCTGTTGGGTGCCCGTCCCAAGCTCTGGAAAATCATTCTGCAATGTGTTATAAATGAGTTTGTGTCCTAAATGGGTTTTATCTGTCTATCCTTTTCCTGAAAAATGTGTGTCTATCTACAAGAGCCTTTTGAAATTCAAGTCTGCATGTGTGGGGAAATAATTTTCTTAAATTACTTTTCTTATCCTATCACTAATTGATGAAGCTACTATGAAACTTTTCTTATCTCAAATATATAAGCATTTCTCAATCTCTAAAATGATGTGGTCTATTTTAGAATAAATGTTCCCCTACCCTTGGCAAGTTGCACATCTTAAAATATTAGGCTTTTAAAATTATTTGGAGTTTTCAGCATTCTCAAGCTGCCTAGCATTTTTTTTCCTTTCCCTCTTCCTTTCAAGTTGCAAGTTCTTGTCCTTAATATGTTGCAAATGGTCAAGTTCAAAGGTGAAACATTTCATTTTGTTGTTCCCCATTTGTCTATGTTTAATAACTGCAGTATTAATGCCCTTTTCAAACTGCCTGCAAGCTACCTCCCTTCCAATTCTTTTCCTGCCCTTTGTTCTCCATACCTTTTGTCTGCCTCTCCTGGTAGAGTCCACCCAGAAAGGGGGGGGAGACCTTGTTCTTGTATCTTTCAGCCCTGCAATCCTCTCCCAAACCTTTGGAAGCAGAACATGCAGACCCAGATGCTGTCTCCATCCATTTGAGCCATGGAATTGGGTTTGAATCCAGCCATCCACTAAAAAGCCACCGTGCAATCTGAGTGGAAAATCTTCCCAAGTTCTACCATTCCCCAGATGCCTGTGAGAGCTTCAGAAGGAAGGATTCCTGGTGCCATGTAAAACCTCAGAAGAGAAAATTAGACTCTGGAGGGGAGGGTGGAAAGTAATTGTAAACTTTTCTTTCTTGCCCCATTTGTATTGTAACAAGCCAATTGAATGTATTAATGGAGAGATGGCATTTGGGAATAGGTGGCAGAACAAGTACTGAACACCTTGGACTTCTATCTGGTGGGAGGGAAAATTTATCCAGAATGTTTGTATTTACTATTTTGTAAAAGTAGCTGCACATACATGCACACACACACACACCATTCAGAATCACACTTGAGTCTATCCCCTCCACCTACCTTTAGTAAAGTTCCCCAGGCTGGTTTTTGCTCTATTGCACCAAAGCTTTGTAGGAACAACTTCCAACAAATTCCAAGGGGGAGGGAACCAGCCCCTCTCAGGTGATTTGCAATTCATATGCACTGACTAAGGAAGCAACAGGAAAGATCCCCAAACCTCAGCCCTGAATATCTTGCACTGTTGGACTCAGATTGGCATTCCTAGAGCTCATTATGTGCAATTTAAAGAAAAATTTAATAGCCTGGCATATTAGCTAACCTCAATTGTACTAACCTGGATGCACTGAACTAAGAGCTAAGGCAGGAAACAACCCCTGAAAATGGGCAGCCATGTACTGAGGAAAATCATGGCTGTGAAGAAGCAAACCTGACTGGAAGCTAAAGGTGACATCAATATTTGAAAATGATTGGCATAGAATATTGGACACTATAAATTTCTTTTACACCTAACAATTTTTGCCTTGACTTTTAGAACCTTATGAGTTGCAAGCTCTCCTTTTGGGAGCAGGGATCTTTTTCTGCTGCCTCTATTAGTGTCTTATTTTTTGGCTTAATGGTTTAAAAGATTGTTTACCAAGTTTCCCTGGCCAGATCAATTTTAATCTTGTGCCATTTAAGAGTGTCAAACACACACTTAAGGCACAAAGTGGGGATTGAGGGAAGTTAGCCCCCCCCAAAGGAAATATTAAAAAGGAAAATATATTTTTCACCAAAAGTATTTTTTGAAAAGCAGAAACCAAACCTGCCCCCAAATTTCTTTGCCCCAAACAAGAGCTAACCTCATAGAAATGTAGATATAAGACCATTAGGAAGGTTGGAGCCAGGGAACTCAAGACAAAGAAACTCTTAAGAGTCATTAGCCCCCTCAAGACAAAGAAACTCTTAAGAGTCATTAGCCCGGCCCCAGGAAAGCAGGAGATGACTTTTGGGATATAACCCATTACCATCAAGTATACCATAGAGGCACACCTAAAACAGGTCAGAATACGTGACACAGGAAATAGCCTCAAAGTTCATGCCACAGGAACAGGAAACTATTCCAAACAAAAGGCTAGAGGGGATATAAAAACCTACAACACCATGTGCTCAACCTTTCTCTCCTCTGCTCTTTCCTGAAGAACCATCTTTCTGCAATAAACTGTAACCTTCTTCCCAAAGCAGTCACCATATTCGCTTATTTGTTTCCGGCTTGGATGAACCAGGATGAAGACTTTACTTCTAACAATTGAGCAGTGCAAACTACTTCTCTAATTTCTTTAATTCTTTTAAAAATATAATACAATGATGAGTCTATGACCAGATGATTCTGGTTATAGATTTTGTTAATTCAATTGTATTGCTTTTTAAAGTTTTAAATTTTTAAAAATATATTTGGATTGTTTTTCTTTAGTTTTTAAATTGTTAAGCCATTAGAATCATCCAGCTGATCAATAAACATCAGACAAATGAATAACTTTTCCCCTGGCATCTTCCTTTAATTTAAACAAAATGCTATTTCTCTAAAAGACAAACATAGGGACCTACCTGCCCCAGCTGATGGCCTTCTCCATGGAGCTACTTTGTGGTAAGTGCTTGCCTGCAAAGCTGATGATCTGGATGCGATAGCTCTGTTTGTGACCCCACTGGTTTTCATTGTTAGAACTGAAAAGCAGGTACCGTGGGATTTTACCATCAAGTGGGAAAGCAGCTTTTTCTTCCGTATCCAGGACTTGCTGGGTGAGGATTGGTCGCTGGATTGTGTGCTCTGTGCTCCAAGGGGCCTGCACAGATTCATAGGCCATATCAAGGTCCACCAAAGAGTTCTTGACTCCTAACAATAAAAAAGAATGAGAGAAACACTTCCTGTTTGGACTCCTGCCTAAGGATACACCTACTTAGAAACAATGGATTAAACACCAAAGTCAGTTTAAGACTGTGGACAGAATGGCTTATCTTATATATGGGAGAGTTTCTCATAGATTCACCATACAACCTTGTTCAATTATTATTTTTCAGCATCTGTGGCTCAACTTTACATTAGGAACAATGGAAGCCTACTCAGAGAATTGTTATAATATCTTACATTACATTATAGATCTCCTTCTTCCTTGCAAAGAAGAGTCAACCAATAAAATCTTTGTCACAGGGACCAGTTCTATTTGGAAGATAACACGAGAGATCTTTTCAGAGGCTGCTTTGAAATTTCCTTCCCCCAATGAAGATAAAACTGAGATTTATTGGGTTTTTTTGTGGTCTAACATAATAAAATATTATATGTGAAATAATTATTTATATTGTACAATCTTTTTGTTCTTATTTTCATAATAACTCCCATATGATATGGATTGACTTCAGCTGGTGGGATCCAGGTGAGGAAAATAAATTATATCAGTGATACAAAATGCTTCCTGGGTAACACGGCAGGATATGTTATTATATTTATTATTCCATGGCTGGTTACATACTGTATGTACAAATGGGTTTAAATTGCCATAGGTTCTAACAACTTGAAGTATAATAATAAACAGGATTTTGGTTTGGTTCATATTTTAAGAAAATATATTCTTTGACCATAATCCAAAATCATACAAAAAGGGTGTTACCAGGAAAAGTGCATACAGTATTATGCTTATTAATAAAAAGCAAGGTATAAAAGTGCACTGTCGGGCCGTAGCGGAGGCCGCCCGAGATACCTGTACGCGCGAAGCCTCTCCTTCCTAGAACGGCGTCCGAACGGCCTGACATCCAGATGACTGGCGCGCATGCGCAGGAGCCGCTCCGACGCTCAGCTGGCCCAGCCGAAGCCGCACATGCGCGAAAGGCTGGTATTCCCAACAGACCTTGCCGCTCCGACGCTCAGCTGGTCCTGCTGAAGCCGCACATGCGCGAAAGGCAGGAAATCTCATTGGACACCGGACGGAGGCTGTTTGCCTTAATTAAGACTATGAGGCTGTCGGAGCATCGGGAAGCGGCCAAAGCGTCGGGAAGCGTTGGGAGGCGGTAGTTACAGCTTTAATTAATTGGATGCATGGCCATATAGGGGGTGGTGAGTGGTCCGGAAGAGGGCGGTGGTGCATGGGTGGTAGCATGGGTGTGGGCTAGGCGGGGTCGTTGTAAACTGTATAAAGAAGCCATGAATGTAATGGTTATCAGTGCTGACTTTAATTTGTTACTTTACTGGAATAAATCTGAAAGTTCTTCGTTCCTGATGTGGTGGTTTTTGTATCAGCTGATTGTGTAGTCAAGACGAGGCAACAGTAAGTCAGCACTCACTCTAAACTCGTTCACTAGAGCAATCTTGGAGCAGACGGGAAACAGCATGGCAGAAGGTGTGCAGGACGCTGTCTTGGCTGCGGATGCTCCTGAATTGGTGGAGGACCAGGGCTCGTCAGTGGATCCAGGTGCAGTGGTGGAGGGTCCGGTAGTATGCCTGAAGGAACGGATTATACCGCCAGCTGTGGCAGTGGGTCCTGAGACTAAACAGGGGCCGGCGGCGGCCGAGCTGGCTGAATGGTGGGGGAGTCCCGCATTACAACGTGTGGACACTGGTCAGTGGTCTATGCTGGGCGACAGAGACTATCATGCAGGTTGGAAGGAGAGGAGAGTGGTTGGTGACGAGGAGGGTGATTGGAGTTACTCCACCGCTCCTGGACAGTACACCCTTGACGTGTTAAGGGATAGATTTGGGGAGACAGGTTTCCTTCCCAAACAGGGGGTTGCCTCCCAGCATCCCATCGATACATCTGGATTCCATTTGACTAGCCCGCACTTGCGGGTGGCACCAGCACCACTGGAACAAGGGGGGCAGGGAGGTGTGAGAATGGGACCCACACATGCCAGTCATACTACCCCTATTTCCCTACCTTTGGGGTCTGGGGATCTTGGCCGACATTCCACTGTCATTGGGGGACAACAGGGTGGCCAATCGGCTTTAGTATGGCCCACGGGTATAGCATGGACCCCTCCGCCTCTTGGAATTACATTTGACGGTGACCCGGACAAATTAGCCATGTTTTTGGGTCATGTGTTGAATCATCTGGATCGCTTCGCGGCCCATTACACCTCCCAGTGGGCCATCGTGGTAGCAGTGACTGCCAATTTGCAGGGTGAGGCGGCCACCTGGGCAGCGGACTTGTTTGGAGATCACGCCAGCGAGTTGGCTGATATAGGCTTTTTTCTGGAGGCCTTGAGGATTCGGTTCGAGGATCCTACTAGGGTCCAGAGAGCGGAGGCAGAAATAGTATGCTTAAAACAAGGGGGGAGGCCAGTAAGGGAATTCATTAGGGAATTCCAGCGTGTGGCAGGCCGGTTAAGATCATGGCCTGAGAAATTACTGGTACATCACTTCCGGCATGGGCTAGATGTGGAGTTCCGTCAGGCTTGTCTAGTGCGGGGGGTTCCAGCCTGTTTACATGAGTGGTATAAGACGGTTACTGAGCTCTATGCTGGACTGCAGGAAATAACTCCAAGGGTGCCCACCTCTCTCCCCGCGTCCACGCAGCTACCAACCAGTATACCGAAGGCCGTGGGAGTTCCAGCACAACCAGCCCTACAGGGGGCGCCAAGGGGGGTATTCCGCTGTTTCAGATGCAATAAACCAGGTCACAGGGTGGCCCAGTGTCCCATATCTCCAGGAAGGGGCGTGTCTTTGGGACAGTCTGGACTTACGACGAGAGGACAGGAAGTCACGCCATTTCGGGGTGCGGATCAAATGAGGGCTTTACAGCAAAATGAGGACAGCACACCCTATGGGCCTTCACCAGGAGTGGTGGTTTCAACCCCGGAGGTGGTGGCCGACAAGTACGATCGGGAGGATCCGGAACAGGATCCTATGGTAAGTAGTTCAGTAGTACCATTCACCATACCAATCTTCCTGGCCAATTGCAAATCTGGTCAACGCATGGAATGTAAAGCGCTGATAGATTCGGGGTGCACACGATGTCTAATCAGTAGGAGAGTAGCGGATGCGCTGGGACTCCAACTGATAGATTTGTCTCGGCCAATCAATTTTGAACAGGTGGATGGGTCCTTGTTGGGAGGGGCACCGGTGAAACAAGTAACTGAACTGGTACGGTTAGAGATCAGGGATCATTGGGAATTAGTACGTTTTATTGTGATTCCTGCAATGACCGAAGAAGTGATCCTGGGGTTGGCCTGGCTTGACAAATGGCAACCAGTCATATGGTGGGCGGGTGGATGTCGCCGTATGAGATTAGTGGTGGGACCCAGGCCTCCAGAGGTTCGTAAGGATGATAGGGAGAATCCATATGTGCAATCATCACCTGTCAAACAACTAGGTAAGGAAAGGATTAGAGTGGCGGTGGAGGCTAGTACAGGGAAACATTTGTTCCCTGTGGAGTATGAGGACCTACGAGAAGTGTTTAGCGAGCAGGAATGTGATGTGTTGCCGCCACATCGCCCTACAGATTATGCAATAGATATCATACCGGGGGCAAAACTGCCCAAACCCCGGATGTATCCCATGTCTCCCAAGGAATTGGAGGAACTAAGGAGGTACATCGATAAGAACTTGGCGCATGGCTTTACACAGCCAGCCCGGTCTCGGATTGCGGCTCCTGTGATATTTCAGGGAAAGAAAGATGGAGGATTGAGGCTTTGCGTGGATTTTAGGGGATTGAATGCGGTATGCACTGAAAATATGTATCTATTACCTTTATTGAAAGACATGCTAACTCATTTATCCCAAGGGAGGATTTTTACTAAACTCGATCTTCGGGAAGCATACTATCGCATCCGTATAAGATCAGGAGATGAATGGAAGACCGCGTTTAATTGCCCTTTAGGGAGTTTCCAATTCACTGTCATGCCTTTTGGATTAAAAGGAGTGCCTGCAGTATTTATGCAAACCATTAATGCGGTGTTGCATGAACATTTATATCGCGGGGTATTGGTGTACCTTGATGATATTTTGATATATTCCAAGACAATAGAAGAGCATATACGGATGGTTAGGGAGGTTTTACACAAACTCCTCCAGGCCCAATTATTCGTGAAACTCTCAAAGTGTGAGTTTCACAAAACCTGTATTGAATATTTGGGATACAGAATATCAGCCTCAGGGATAGAAATGGATCCGGCAAAAGTGAAAGCAGTACTTGAGTGGCAGGCTCCTAGGACGAGACGCCAATTACAGAGCTTCCTGGGGTTCGCGAATTTTTACAGGCAGTTCCTGATTTCGCACAGGTGGCTTTGCTACTTACGGAATTGCTGAAAACACGGAACTCCCCTGTAAAGGCACGGCCTAGCCAGCCATTGGTCTAGTCCAAGGAAAGTCAGGCTGCGTTTGAACATTTAAAGGCTTTGTTTGCCAAGGAGCCCATTCTGCTGCATCCAGATCCTGATAAACAGTACATCGTCCAAGCAGATGCGAGTGATGTTGCGGTGGGGGCTGTGTTATTGCAGCGGAATAACGACGGCGAGTTACAGCCTTGCGCATATACCTCACGCAAATTAACAGAGACGGAGAGGAGATGGGCGATATGGGAGAAAGAGGCCTTTGCTATTAAATGGGCTCTGGTAACGTGGCGGCATCTTTTGGAAGGGGCTAAACGGGAGGTAGAAATATGGACGGACCATAAAAACCTAGCAGTATTGCAATCGCCCCAACGTTTAGCCCCGAAACATGTGAGATGGGCGCAATACTTTAAACGATTTACATTCCAGCTTAAATATGTCCCTGGGGGCCGTAATTTCTTGGCAGACGCATTATCCAGATTACCCCAGTATGAGAGCCAAAGGGAGGAGATGGTGCAGGCTATATTACCGCCATATACACAAGGAGTAGGTAGGGTAAGTACCCGTTCCGATAGC